AGATATGAGTCAAGTAAGAATGCATTTTTTGTGTGTGGGGGGGCTATTGATTTGTACACGTCTGATAGAGCTAAGGACTCTAACCCCATGACTTGTTCTGCTTATTTCCCTTTACTTAGGATGATGATGATGATGTTGATGTTGGGCGGGAATGCGTACTCAAGGGTCTGTGTGTGTACCTCAATGAGGATCCAGAAAATCTAGTGAGAGAATACACAGTGAGTATATTAGGGTTCAGCAATTTTGAGATTTATGTTAAATACCTCATGAAGTTCTAAAACATCTAGTTATTGAAGAAACAGAACAGCTAGCCAATTATTTAGATATCCGTATGGTAGTGTTAAAGAAAGTGGTCTAAAATTAGTTCATGTTTGGTAGCAGCCTAAAATATGTTGAAGACTGAAATTAAAAATAATGAATGTTTTTTGTGAATATCCATTTTTACATTTATAAGACCAGTAGAGTGAAATGTCTTAAAATATGAGCTATCATATCATGAAACACAAAATGTATTTATCACTATGATGTTATGTTGCTTTGTGTTGTGGGAATTTTCATGATGGGTAACCATTGAGAAAACGATAGATGAACTAATAATGACTGAATTGTTAGCCACTGACCTTGGTATTCCATTAAATTGTAGTATAATTCAAAAATATTCACTTACAAAATAGTCCTTGTAGTTACATAAAATACTATGATCTTTTTATGAAAAATATTATCAAGTATTGCTTTGGTACTGGCTACATTTCTCACTTAAGAGATGTTAACCTGTCAAAGTTTCTGAATGCTAATGCAGATCTGCTTTAATGTAGACTAAGTATAATAAAAAAATAGGACTTACTGGTGCCCTTTGCTGCTGAGGTAAATAAAGGCCCAGGCCATTATTTGAGGAAACATATCAGTTAACGCAGATACTAATTAAATAGTATGATGTTTTAAGGGCATGATAGGGTTAAGGTTTTAAGTGTTTTTATTTTCTCTCATATGACTCTTTTTGTGAATGTGCACTCTGCAGGCAGAAGATGTAGACCTGAACCAAGGAGCCATTGAGGAGACCACGCTGGGAATATGTGTTGTGAAACACACAGATGCCACTGATGGACCAGAGAACATTGGGATTGTCCTGGAGGGCCAGGTGGTACTGCATGGTCTGGATAACGTTGCCTTGGCTGCTGCCATGTTGTTTGGCCTAATGTATGCCTTGAACCTCAACTACCCTCCTGAACTTAAGTACTCGTTCGAAGTGCTCCAGAAGGTTGTGATGGAGCTGGACGGCAACACACTGTCAAAGAAAGCCCAGGCTCTCAAAAACAGACTCCATCAGTGAACTTTTCCCATTTGATGGCAAAATGGATACAACCGTTTCACCATCTTGTTTTGGAATATGGACCATTGCTGCTTTTTCAGTAGGATTATTGGAACCAGTCACCTGCATGTTCTGTGATGGGCCGCTACCAAGTGTAGTGTATTTTTTTTTCTTTTTTTTTCTCAGGGTCATGTGCCTTTTGTGTCAGCATTTGTCAGATGTGTTGAATAGACCTCCAACAGTTTACCCTATTTTCAAATTTGGAGGTGATTTTTGGATATGGCACATTCTTAACTGACTTATAGTAGTGGTGGGAAAGCAAGCCATAACTCTTAATTGTATTACTTTATTTTCAAAACCAAATGTAGCTTTCAAGCACAAGATCTACATTTGCCAGGACAATAATGGTTCTTACATGTGTCCTTTTCTTTTGTTAAGAAATTGTAAATGTAATGTTTTTTGCACATATTTTGCACAACATTCCTGCATTAGCCTAATGTATAGTATTCTCTTGATGCTGGCTTGATGTAACTCAGGTGTTTTAAGGACCAAAATAATGTTGCCTCAGGTTGTAGCAGTCATGAATGTTTACTACACACTCTTGATAACTTGCATACCAAGTGTTTCTTGTGAAAGAAAAAGGTGCTTTGTTCTAATATGAGATTTGTTTGTGAATGTGTGCATGTGTTTGTGTATACATTACACTGAATCTTCTATTGTTCTATGACAATACAGTTGTAAACTAAACGTTTTTGTTTTGCCTTATTTATTTTAAAACTGTTAAAGGAGTAAATCCTGTAGATTAGTAGAAATCGCCATACAGAAATAATTTTAGCATGTAGAATTTATACAGAAAAGTATGCAGGATCATTATCAGACTAACTTGAGCAGGAAGCAGGAAGTTAATTTAACAGAACAACATTGCATATACTTTACATAAAAATCTCATGTTGCTTCAATAGGTGAGAATTGAATACACTTAACATAAAAGGGACATTTTAAAGTCACATTAAAATCTCATGTTGCTTCAATAGGTGAGAATTAAATACACTTAACATAAAAGGGACATTTTAAAGTCACATTAAAATCTCATGTTGCTTCAATAGGTGAGAATTGAATACACTTAACATAAAAGGGACATTTTAAAGTAACACAAAAAAAATAAGTTGGGTTATCAGAATAATTTAATACAATTAACATTAATAAAATATTTTGAATTTACATGAGAAAATCATGTTTGTTTTACAAATAAAAATGAAGTATATTAAATAGAAATGAATCATTTTGACTAAACATGAATATAATATGTGCAACCGATGTACATATTTTTTTCATGTAAATTCAAAAGACTTTTTTTTTCAGTGTAATGTGACACACAATTTCCAGATTAGAGAAGGAACGGGAACTGCTGGGACACTTGATAAACACATATGATAAGAATGTTCAAACAAACATACGCCAACGATATTACAGTAACAGAACTTGAGGATTTTGAATTCAGAGCGGCTATTCGGTTGCAATGACCAAGCATCACCAAGATAAAACTAAGCAGCATTAGACACATTCACGGGGGAACATTTGGACAGAAGGAGGGGAGAGCGGTTTTGGCTTATCACAGTTCTAAATTAGATCCCATGGAACTAGGACAAGTAGGCTGCACCAGACATTTGGCCGCAATAGCTCGAGCGGTACAGAAGACTGCATACTTGGTAATGTGTCATCCTTTGAAGGTCCACACAGACCACGGTGTTGTAGCTTATCTAGACACACAAGCTTTCACTCTGACAGCTATGAGAGGGGCTGGGATATCTGGTATATTGACCCAGCCCCATCTCTCTTTCACATCAGAAGGTGTGAATATGACATCTGGATTGCCACCTACTGAGGGTGGTCATGACTGTGCAGAAGTAGCTAGGAAGGAGACGAAGGTGACGAACGCAGAGACAGCCGCCAGCCAAGGGAAGCAGGTTCCAGTCATACCGCCAGGAAGCCGGGTGTGGATTAAGGCCCATAAACGCAAGTGGAGTGATCCAAGGTGGACCGGTCCTTGGGAGATAGTATTGGCAACATCACACTCGGTAAAGGTGAAAGGTAAAGCGGGAGCCACTTGGCATCATCTCACACATTGTGCACCTGCTAAGGCACCAAGCCAGACCCTTGCGGAGACCCGATTAAATACCAGGCAAGTTAATTCAGAGCCAAAAGACACAGGAGGGAACAAAGCAGCAGAAAATGTCTCGCCCACAGCGTAAGTATCAGTTGGTAGTAGGGGGTTCAAGTTCAGTTCGGGGAAGTGCAGCTGTTCACACAGGTGACGATGACATGACGTCTGTAAGTGATCTATCCCATCCCAGTCGACAAGATGTTTCCTTACCACCTAACATCCAAGCAGCAATTGCTCTCACGTTGACATTCAAGGAAAATATAACTGCATCTGTTCAATTTGATTATTGTGATATTGCAGCCTGCGGAGTCCAAGACCTCAGGTTTTGGAGGTCGGACCAATACTTGTGTTCCACCACCAACCGATGTGGACCAGGAGTCAGGTTTGGTAAGCCAGTGGAGCAGTACGGCTGTGACTGCGAGGAGGCAGAATGGAAGTTCGCACACACTGGTAGATGGAAGTCATCTAAAACTGGTCCTAAACCTGGGCTGCAAACCCGTTTAACGATGCGGAAAAACGGATATCCAGATTTGGCTAAATGTGGGGGGGGGTTGTGCAATCCACTAATAATCACATTGAAAAATCCAGAATTGGGGGACAGTGGACTATACGTGTTGAAAGGAGGGACATACGATATTGAAAGCCCACAAGGGGTGTTTAAGATTGTTGTTAAACCCTCTGCTAACAAACAGGAATCCACTGCTGATCAGGTTGGAGCTGAAGCTGACACTTCTTGGAAGGGTGTGGTAAGACGGGAAACTGGATTCTCGGAGTCTAATCTATGGCTCCAATGGGTACAGTATACTGCCACAAACATGCAGTACAGTACAGATTGTATAGTGTGTTCTCAACCTAGGCCTATGCCCACTCCTGTACGTTCCAGATTCAGACCAATAAGTCCTATATTCAAATGTATACTGGAGCTCTTTGTCCTGCAGACTCAGCCTGTCCACCATACTTGTCTAGAGTTCCAATGGGATTATCCGCCAGCTACCTTGAGCACGCCACCTCCATTTATGGTTCCAGATGGTACATTTGATTGCATAGTATCAGAGATAACGGGAAGGATAAAAGTAGGTGACATTGCAGGAGTAAACTGTACCACAGTTCAGTTTGCTAATGTCACTCGATATTCAAGTGTGTAGAATCAGACGATTTCCAGAGCCGACCTCTGGTGGTGGTGTGGAACTAAGGTTATTTATCCAACGCTGCCAGCTAATTGGACGGGTACTTGTGCATTAGTGCAGCTTATCATGCCATTCTATGTCTTTCCAGTGAAGGAGACCACATTTCAAGACTTGATTTCACCACATCCTCACGTCGCCAGGAGAGCGAAGAGATCCACTAGTCCTGCGGGCTCATTTGATAGTCATGTGTACTTAGATGCCATTGGGGTGCCCAGAGGGGTGCCTGATGAGTTTAAAGCCAGGAATCAAATTGCGAGCGGCATAGAATCCTTTTTCTTCTGGTGGGTGACAATCAATAAAAATGTAGACTGGATTAATTACATATACTACAACCAGCAGCGATTCATAAATTTCACCCGGGATGCCATAACAGGGCTCCACGAGCAGTTGGATAAGACTAGTTTGATGGCATGGCAAAATAGAATGGCACTGGACATGATCTTGGCAGAGAAGGGAGGAGTCTGTAGAATGTTTGGATCTGCCTGTTGTACTTTCATTCCCAATAATACAGCGCCTGACGGATCGGAGTCCAAAGCACTGGCTGGACTGACAGCTCGAACCAGCAGCTGGCAGACAACTAAGGCGACGACAATCCTCTCACCAACGGGTTTGTCAGTATTATAGCACAACGGAAAAGTGCATTCCTGTCTGCGTTAACCCTTCTTGTGTTACAGTCATGATCTAGTCCACTACGGATGAAGCTGCATCTCCTGCATCCTTGGATTCCTGCAGGGATTGATCGATATTGTGTTTAGTGAGACTAGTATACAGGGAAATCGGTAGCGAGTAGATGATGAGGGACAATCACTGTTGACGGATGTGACTGTATGATAATTTTTCTGTCTTTGAGAGATGCTCACAGTGAACTGTGAGCAAGGAGGGAATTGTTAGGGATTTAAGCCAGAAGTGCACCCCTAGTCAGGGAATTATAGTACGTGTAATAATGTTTAGTGTTAGAATTATAGTTTGTGTGATGTTAGATATTAGTTATTACATTAACATGTTAGATGAAGTGAATGCAATTACAATCAAACACAATTCATAGTCATTTAAATCATATAAACACTGTACACATTAACATTCTGTCACAATGTGATGTTAAAACCTGGGGACGGATGCCAATTGCCGTTCTTTATGGATTTCTCCCAATTTTATCCCCAAAAAGGGTTTTTTGGGAGTTTTTTCTCCTGTCAGGTAATAAATGAACAACTTATTTCAAGGCAGCCGACTGAGGCAAATGTCTTGAGAATTGAACCACATGAACTGTTTTAGATCTTATGATGAAGTGTGATGAACGGTGATCATTAGTGATGGGTTGTTGTAATTAAAGTGTACTAGTTATAAGATGAAAACTTAAACGATGTATGCTTTGTTGGGTTCACTCATTGGGGCATAAAGCCACAGTATCTACATTGAGTGCATTGGAATGTGAGGGACAGCTAGGACAGAGAGGTTTCAGGTTACAGCTGCAGCTTCACACCTCGACGTGGAAGGGACAATGGAGGAGGTGACCCTTTGGAGAAGAGGCCAATGACATTCAAATGCACCAAAGAAGACACACCTCAAGAGTTTTCAAAGGACCAAAGCGGGGAAAAGACTGTTAGAACTTCTCCTGCAGCCGCGTTGATAAGTCACTTCAGACTTGCTCAGAGGATTCTCTATTTCGCGAAATATTCCACTGTTCGCTTAGTATTTCACTTTGTAATTGTAATCCCTATTACGTTGTTCAGTTATTAAATAACTTTTGATTTTTGAATTTAAACGAATTGACTCATTCGTGTCCTCGTTTCCGGCCGGGACGAGAACAAGGGATTGAGTCCTCCCTCGAGAGCTTCCGAAACCTTAACAGTCGCTAACTTAAACGTTAGCTTGCTTAACACTTTTCTACTTTTATTTCCTAGATAGTTGCTTAATCGTGGTTTTAAGCTGAAATAGCGAGCTTATTAAGCTAAAAGCTAACTCGCTGAAGGCTAATTTTGCTAAAAGCTAACATTTCTAATTGTGTGTTTAGACAAAATGCTAATTAAATGTTCTCAAGGCGGCCCATTCATAATAATGATAAAGACGAAAAGCGACCTTTCTACTACTCACTGCGTTTGTTTCATGCTTTATTTTGTGATGTCCTTTCAAAAAAGTAACCGGGTCTAGTTGTTGCCCTAAACGTACGACGTTCACCATGGTGACGGAAAGTGATTCCGCTCAGCAAATTGGTCCCATATAAGAGAGCCAGACACAAAAAGAGAGAGCGGGAGGATCGATGGGGGGCGGAGGGGGAATACGCTTGGTGAAGGGACAGAACGAGTGCAATCACTTCAATAAACGTACATCGACAGGACATCTTATTATCATTGACCTGTATTATTCAAGCATTTGCTTGCCCCGCCAGATTGTGTGTGTTTGTGTGTGTGTTTGTGTGTGCTTGCAGCCAAATGTTTATTCTCTTGGTCAGTATAGATTGGACTCAACTGTTTTATTATTGGATCAATTGCGTTTCTGCATCATCAACATTTCAAAGCCCACTAAGGGCGTATTGACTACAACGCAAAATACTCACAAAGAGGCGAGCCTGAGAAATGTGAACGCATTGATTCTATTAGTTACCAGGAAAATAAGACATGAACGACCACAAAACAGTTCGCACATTCGATCCGAGCAGAGAAGTATTCCATTGAGATGCACCGTGGGTATTGTCCATCACGTCCATATCCCACATTCAAGTGAGCATATTGCAAATACACATTTCACCTGTTGAGGGCGCTATATGAAAAGTGACATGATGGGCAAAGTTATTGCATTCTTCCTTTGGGGACCACCCATGTTTGTATCGAACTGTTTGCAGGTTGTAGTGATCTTTGTGTGGGAACAACGGATCTAGATTAAGCGTCTTCCAGATGACCGCGGTGAAGTAATGTGAATTCCTCTGAATGCTGCAAAATCTATCTAGATATACAATATTTACTAGGCCAATACCACCACAACCCCCCCCCCCCCCTCACCCAGCCGCCTCCCCAACGCTCCATCCTGCCCCCACAAGAACAGGACTTGTAATGACCTCATTTCAAAATGGAGGGTAATTCCGACACACCGCCATGGGTGGAGTAGAAACAGTTATGAAGCCACAGAGTTATTTCCCACGAGTCCATTGCTGCCCAAGAAGCCATAGATTTATTAAGCCTCGAGGCAGAATAAGCGTCATGTGATCCGTGGCTGTTTTTTTTTTTTTAATGATAGTTAGTATGTTGAAAGGATTATATCAAATTTTAATTATAATCTCAAATATCTGACCAACACACTTGAATTGAGGCCATCTAGACGAATCGCCAACGGCGTGAATTCCCTTCCAGGGCCCCTCCCTGTTTTTTTGTTGTTGTTCTGTTCCTATTTGCTGTCGTATTGCTTGTGATTTCTGCCGAGAGAGACTCTGCTGCACACGGCCCTGTAATGACCGCTGCGTATCTCCAATCTGACGCATCGCCTCGGTGTCTTTCATCTTGTTTGAGAGGACCGGCGTGCCTCGCTCTCCCCCGTGCACTCCCTCGTTTTATGAGCCCACACAGAGGCGGCGGCGCTTGTCAACCAAATGGACTTTTCATTAGGACCCAGGACGGGTTCGGGCCACAGCAGCGGCGCAGCTGATCAAATCTCAAACAATGGAGCAGCTCTTTAGAAGCTCTTTTCTTTGTTACTGATGTGGATGAAGGTGTGTGTGTGTGTGTGTGTGAGAGAGATCTGAGGCATCAACGTTGCTGTGAAAAAGGAGTTGGTTATCATAGAAGGCCCTGAAGATGTCACCTGCCAAGATTATTTTTTAATTACATAACCTCAGGTTGATTTGAACACAACGTGTATGGTTGCTTCAGAAGAAATAGTGTGTTATTTCTTCTGCAGCTTTAAATGGCACCTGCTGTACTTTCACAGATCTTCTACCCTCTGATTTGCAGTCTGAAATGTGTGTTCATGCGACTTCGATTTTTGTTCTTTAGGGTTCACCGTCCAATGGAAAGCAGAGCGTGAAAACAAAAACAACAACATTTAACCGGACAAGGCTTTACTTTTTTCATTCCGCTAACAATGCTACGCTAGCTTTGCAAGCACATGTAAGTGCTGGTTGTTATCAGACATTGAAATCCATGTGCATGTACGCAACTATATATTGTGCTGTATTCCCAGTTGCACAGCACTGTTTGGTACAATAATATTAGATTTCTTCTTGCTGTCCTCTCCCCCCCCCCATTTCATGGGCCATTATCTTCTGTAAGTGAGCTGAGAGAATAACATCTCTACAATAAAAAAATGTTCCCTCCCCCCCGCAGATTTATTGTAGTTCTTTTGTATATGATGTGAACGTGGTACTGCGAACCGGTTAGAGGTTGTAAATCAGACACTGATTAAATCTGTCTGGGCCAGAGTTCTTCCATTTTTCTTTGAGTGCAAAACTGACCTGATTTGGGGCGATTTTGGAGACAGGTCCGTACATCACGGTGGGCGTAACTGCACTGTGGCACATTTCACGCCATTAAAGTTATCTGTGGGTCTATTAGGCTTCAAAGGTCCAGTATCCGGCCCCTGCATGCGCGGGGCCCACTGGTGAGTAAATCTTCTTAAACGTGGTCCTTTGCCAAACACATTTCTCTTTTTGTGAAACGTGCAGGTTAAAGTAGGACAAAGTACCAGATGCGTAGTTCTTTCTCTCTCGTGCAACATTCGATCAGGCAAGTGCTCCTTCTTCCTTTTTGAATAGTCGGACCTGTTCATGCCAGTTTAAAACTAAATTATTTTACTCCCGTTTTCCCTCCACTCCAAGGTGAAAGGTCACCGCGCTGCAGTCTCTTCCTCCCTTCGATCAATAAATTCACTTAAAGCCGAAAAAAACATCTTGTGTTGTTATTTCTAAATGTCGAACTAGGAGCTAAAAAACATTTTTTGTGAAATATTGTATGGAGGGTAATTGTATTATTATGGTGCTGTTTCTAATGTTCTAGCATTCCAATTATGGAAAATAGCAGCTGAATTTATTGTGAATTAAACTAAAGGAGGGTTACGGTTATTTCAGGATATATTTTTTATAAAATTACAATACAACGCAGTTTAATGATGCCACGGTAACTCAGAAAACATTCTCTGAGGTTTGTTTGTGCGTTTGAAAGTAGCAGAAGAGGCTCAGCTGTTGTTATCTTCAAAAGGAAACTGGAGAGTCGTGATTGGCTTCCTGGACCTTTTGTTCTGATTCCCACAACAGATCAATTGGTCCTCCCGCTCGTCCCCGAGGTGACACCATCAGTTCTGAGACGACACTGATTAGAATGCTTTTAAAATCAAA